TTTTTAAAAAATGATATATTTGTAAAGATTTTGAAAATGTGATATTTTTAAAAATTGATCATTGGAATGACATTTTTAAAGAAAAGATACACATATACGCCAAAAAAAAAAAAATACACATATTACAAGGGTCGGCTCACCACCGTACCGTGGACCGAGGCGCAGAAAATCATGAACCCGGTTTGACCAAAACGCCCTTTAGCAGAACCAAGGAAAAAGAAATATAAAGAGAAAGGAGAGGAAGAGAAGGTCGGAAGATTTGATTTCCCTTTTTCTTATTTCACATAGGAAGAGAGCTTAGGTTTTTGTGTATCTCGTGAGGTTTTTCAGAGATTACAACTATGGTGAGTTTAGGTTTTCTTGTCTTTCTGAATGTTCCCCAGATCGATTTTTGTAATCTTTTTGTGCTTGAGATTTTCATCTTTGTGTTTGGATTACACGAACCGTTGATTAGTTTCTCCTCTTAATTCATTTGCATGTTATTACAACTTTGGGCGGATTGAATTTAGATTGTACAAACATATGAATTCCTGTAACCCAATGTTAGCTTTCGCTGTGGAATTCCCTTTTTCAATCTTCAATTTAATAATCTTGTTTCCAATTTCTGGGCTTTTGTTTTGTAGGATTCGATGGTTACTCAAAAAACTGTTTTGGCTGTGACTGATGATGTGGTTTTACCTGTTAGCTCTGTTCTAACGATTATGAAAGAGCTTGGAAAGGAACCTTGTGATCCTCTGGTTATTACTCAAGCGTCCACAATAAGTAAAAATCTCGAATCTTCATTACTTTCTGGTTATTTGTTTAGCTTTGGATCTAAAACAGTTGCTCGTTTGCTTATTTTAGCTGTTAATAATTAGCGTATGGTTAATCTGGACTGTATGTAGAAAGAATGATTCATGTTTGTACTATTGAGAGGTGAGTAGTTTTAGGCAAATGGATTGTGGTTTCTCCTCTCTTGTTCTAACTGTGTACTACTGTCATGTCAATCGTTTTGCAGATCAGTTTCCTTTGGATTCTTCCTCAGTGGATGCGGTTTTAGCCATTTCCAAAACATCTGATTTTCCCAGTGAAACTATATACGGCGAGCTCTCGAGAATCTTAAAGCCTGGTGGTACGGTTTTTGTGTGCACGAATTTGGATGGTGAAACTGGAGATTTGCAACAGGTTTGTGTTGTGTATTTGGTCTTTAATAATGGGTTTATTTGACCTGTACTTGCTTAATCTTATGGCATCTTCCTTGCAGACCCTTCAAAGGAGAGTGACGTTGGCTGGTTTTCTGGAGCCACAGTCTCTTGATTTGAAATCAATTAGGTTGTCTACGTCCACTTTATCCTTTGGGGTGAGCATTTTTACATGTCTTCTCTTTCTTTCAGTATGAGAAAGCTTTTGTTCTTCTCCAAAAAGAAGAATAAAAGTGTGTGTTTTGAGGTCAAGCTTATTCTTGGCCTTTTACACTAAGGATGGAAGATCTTCGTTCTACTTATTTGTCAAAGTTGCACATATGCTCTCACTTAAGTTCATCCACATAACATATAAACATGTTTTTAAATGCAGATCAAGGCAAAGAAACCTTCTTGGAAGATTGGTTCATCATTTGCTCTCAAAAAGCCTGCAAAAACTCTCTTGAAGGTTAATCTAGACGATGACTTGGATCTTATAGATGAAGACTCTCTTTTGACAGAGGATGACTTGAAGAAGCCACAACTTCCTGTTGGTAATTAACGACAACCACATGGCCTTTGCTATCGTTATTCATTCCTTGTGTGTAAGATATCTTGCATTTTTTTGCAGCCAGTGGTTGTGAGACCACTAAAAAAGCTTGCAAGAACTGTGTCTGCGGTAGAGCTGAGATAGAGGAGAAAGCTGTAAAGCTGGGTCTCACAGAGGATCAAATCGAGAATCCACAATCATCATGTGGCAGTGTAAGCTTCTTTACCCAGCTCCTTCTTTCTATGCATTGGATTTTTGGTTCCACAAGACTGAAAATTCCTTAAAACATTTTCTTTCAGTGTGGGCTCGGTGATGCCTTCCGCTGCGGTACATGCCCTTACAAGGGTCTCCCACCCTTCAAATTAGGCGAGAAGGTAACTGATTTGTTATATCTATCACCATCGTTAGCTCTTGTAAATCATTTTGAGAATACAACTGATTCATGTAACTTTTTCTTCCTCCATAGGTATCCCTATCTCAAAACTTCCTCGAAGCTGACATATAAGCCTGTAAAAGGTGCATCTTCATGCATACTTGTTTCTCACCAGAGGCCAAACCCCTTTGCTAAACACAGAGTAGTTTCATTGTTTACTTTGTGCCCTTTCTTATACTTTGTTTGTTGGTACTCGTTTTATTGCTTGGCTCTATAAAGCTTTTATAGAAATTTGTTGGTGTTGCTCACAAAACACTTTGGAACCTTAATTAGTATCAATGGAGAACAGCTTTGTGTTTTGTTAAATAGTGGTTTGTGTCTGTTAATTGGCTTGGACCTTAGTTTCACAGCTTCTATCGGTTTGTGGAGTAGATTGGTTGCAAATCACTCTTTTATCATCAAACGCTGCTATCAATAGCTGTGGTTCTTACTGGTGTTCCCTGTGATTGATCAGACGTTCTGTTTAATAATGGAAACTGAGAAGTGTGAGCATATAAGTTTCGGACAGATTTGTGCTTTGAATTGTTATGATACGAAAAAATATATATCTATGCAAGAACAAAATTGTTTGTAATGAATATGTGTATCACAGTATCACCCGCGTGCAAATGAATCTATTGTGACCTGGTTAAATGTGCAGCCTGTGAATCAATGTATATATTACACCAGAGCTTGTGCTCCCGAAGTGTTACTATGTTTCTGTTTGTTCTCTGTGACCACGTGACTAGATTCATCTGTAGCAATCTCGATCTAAAGACGATCGTACAACAAAACAAAATGCAGTTTCTTTCTCATCTCTTTCCCTGGTAAAAGTCCCCAGACCAACTAAATTTAACCCCCAAACCCAAGTATAATAACCTAACCAACACTCAGACAAGCTTCGACTACATGACACGATCCGGATATCATTACTAAACCGAACTGAACCAGAGTAGATCAGAGAAAAAGCAGCTGAATTTCTACTGTATTCCCAATTATAGACCCCAAAGCTGAACTTGGGCGAGAGATGTGACTTCGTTCCTCTCCCTTTCTAAGCTTAGCACCATCAAACTCCTCTAAGTTGAACTTCCAACTGCTCTATTCGCATAGCCAAATCGTGCTTCCCGCTATTTTTCAACCCATCAGTAACCATATCAAAGCACCGTGATATCGGTACCAAACCCATCTCTGTCATCTCAACCAAATAATTAGCTGCATCCACAAATTTCCCACCACGACCACACATTGTGATCAGCATTGTGTAAACCGGCCTATTAGGCGGGTGAGCCTTCACTTTCATGTCACTAAAAAAGCTAAACGCATCATCAAACATCCCATACCTGCACATTCCTTTGATTATCGGAGCATACAAACTAGGAAACGGCTTATGCCCATTTTCCACACAGTGGTTCAACAACCGAAACGCTTCATCGATCTTCCCAATCTTTGAAACCGCAGGTATAAGTGTCTTGTAAGTGTCGATATCTACACAAAGACCTAACTTGCAAGCAGTATAATACATTTCAATGCAGAAATCAACTTCCCCTGATTTAGATATAGCTTCAATCAAAGTATTAAAAGTTTGAACATCAGGAACAAACCCTCCTTTGGTCATCTTGTTCACCATCTCTTTAGCAGATTCATAGTAACCTGCATTTAACAATCCTTCAATCAGCAAATCACGTCCACGAGCCGGTGGATTAAACCCTTTCTTGCTCATTTCATCAAGAAACTCTTGAGCCTCCTTCATTTTTCCGGCGGAGCACCATCCGTTAACCAAAACGGAATACGTTCGCTTATCCGGCTTGAGACCTTTCCTTATCATTCGCCGGATCAAGGCGTAAGCACCGTGAAACATCTTCACCTCACAAAGCGCGTGGAGCAAAGAATTGTAAACCTCAACGGTTTGTTGGCACCCGAGAGTCTTCGGGACGCCATTGAAGAGCTCCACGGCTTGATCCACATGGCCGTTCTTACCGTACTGCTCAATGATGAAACAGAGAGTCTCGCCGGAGATGTCTAGAGATAGATCCTTCATCTGTTTGAGGATTTTCCACATCGATTCATACTTTTTATGTGAAGCTAATGATTTCGCAAGCTGTTCGTATTCCATGGACGTTGGGATGTAATTAGGGTTAGAGCGAGCCCAATTGAAGAATCGGAGGGAATCATTGGCGGAGCGGGAAGTGGCGCGGAGGACTCTGAACACGAATTCGGAGGTTACAGGAAGACGGAGACGGTTCAGAGATCTCTCCGGGTGAACTTCGCGGCGGACGACGTTGACGACGTGGTTGATCGCAGCGAAGTAATCGCCTTTGGTTGGAGTCGAATCGGAGCTTTGCAAAGGCTCGAGACTAGTGAAATGGCGAATAGTAGATTCGATGGAGGCTCTGCAATCGCTGGTGAAGATAGAGAAGAGCCTTCCGCCGCCGGTAGATCGTCGGAGGAGGAACATTTCTCACCGGGAAAATTTCTCCGATGAGTTTAAGATAGCGAGTGATATTCATATTTCATTCCAGTGACGTGGAATATTAGTTTTTTTTTATTTTGCTTATTTATACGATAACGCAAAAACGCAGCGTTTTAATACCGGAAGCCCTAGCTCAGTTCTCTACTATAAAATCCTAAATTTCTCATTTCTTTCCCATTCTCTGAGAATTAGGTTTCTTTTAGCGGCGGAGAAAGAGGAGAAAGCAGGAGAAACCCTAACCATGGCTACTCAACCAGCGAAGGAGTCTGTGCAATGCTTTGGAAGGAAGAAGACGGCGGTTGCCGTCACCCACTGCAAGCGTGGTACTGGTCTGATCAAGCTCAACGGTTCACCAATCGAGCTTCTCCAGCCTGAGATCCTCCGATTCAAGGTGTTCGAGCCAGTGTATCTCCTCGGAAAGCACCGATTCGCAGGTGTGGACATGAGGATCCGTGTCAACGGTGGTGGTCACACTTCCCAGGTCTACGCGATTCGTCAGAGTATCGCAAAGGCACTGGTTGCGTTCTACCAGAAGTATGTGGACGAGCAATCGAAGAAGGAGATCAAGGATATCTTGGTTAGGTACGACAGGACCTTACTTGTTGCGGATCCGAGGAGGTGCGAGCCGAAGAAGTTTGGTGGTCGTGGTGCTCGTTCTCGTTTCCAGAAGAGTTACCGTTAAATGCTCTGGTTTGTCTTGTTTCATTTCAGTTTCGATCATCATCGCAAGGTTTTTGAGAGTATTATTTGAGTATGGACTTGTGAGAAGTTTAGATTTTTAAATTTTAAGTTTTTATGCTTATTTGGTAATGGATAATCTCCAAGAACTTATGTTTTTGTTATGTTGAATCGTTTGCTATCTTATGGTTGTCATTTTCATTTCATTCTCTTGTCTAACTTCGATTGCTCCTTATTTCTTGTTCTGAGATGTATGGCATTTCACATTTTGCATAGTTTCTATCACTGGTTAGGCCAATTGCTCCTTGTAGTTTGCATTTGCGTTGGATAGTTTGGGCATGTTGCTGAGTTTTATGAGAAGTTGTGGCTTTGATGTGGCTGTGAGCGATTTAGTTGATGAAACATCTCGGTTAGGCTTTGTTTGTGAGTTAAGATCTCCACTTTGAACCGTACAAATGTCTAAATGTGTAGATTAAGTGCAGTCTGCCTTTGCTCTTGAGTAGACCCTATATAAAACTCTTTTTGCTATAGTATGTTTCTACAAAATTTTGAGGCTTTGGTTTCTATGTGTCCTCTGTATTCTTAACAAAGATTTACGTTATTCCTTTGAAGCAAGGTGCATATATGATTATGTTAGTTTTGCTGTTTATTTGTTGTATTTCACAAATCATCTTTGCAAATCAAAATTTGGCAAACTCGAACTTGTCGTGGATAGGGCATTTACACATTTGGTTTATGTCTTATTTGGAGCATATTTAAGCACCATACTATTGATCAACGAGATGGTAATACCCGCATGGCGTTGAGGATAATTGTTAACAATGACAATGAAACCAGTTCCAACAAAGAACAGTTGTCAAGCATAGAATTTTTGGTCCAAGCTTTAACTCGTTTTCTCAACCTCTTTACCTGGCCGTGATTTTTGACCTCTCGCAACAAAATGCTATACCTCTTGTGTTTCTACAACTTCTAACGTCAATCCTTATGTCGGTAGAAGCAAAGATAAGGCAATAAGTCAACATTCTCGACGTGTCTTGACCCAACTATGTCCATATCCACAGATGTAGCATCTCCAAAGATCTGAAACTTGGCATTTCAAACAAAACAAAGAGGAATTATAACAAGCTCTTGTTACTTTTCAGCTTTTTCTCTCATGGCAGATTCTTCATCTTTGGCATTGCAGTCTTGCCATTGGAGACACCATGTGTTCCCAAGCTTCAGTGGCAAAGACGTTCGTAGAACCTTTCTTAGTCACCTTCTCAAGGAGTTTCGGCGAAAGGGAATCCGCACCTTCATAGATAATGATATCAAGAGAAGCCAAATGATCGGTCCTGAACTCGTTAAAGCTATCAGAGAATCTAAGATTGTCGTTGTTGTGTTATCGCGAACCTATGCATCTTCAAGCTGGTGTTTGAATGAGTTGGTGGAGATCAAGAAAGCTAGCAAGAAGGTCATGCCGGTTTTCTACGAGGTGGATCCATCTGATGTGAGGAAACTAAGGGGAGAATTTGGAAAGACGTTTGAGGAAGCATGTATAGGAAAATCCGAGGAAATGAAGCAGAGTTGGAGAGAAGCTTTGGTCTATGTGGCTAACATAGCCGGACAATCTTCTCAAAACTGGTAAGTTGTTTTGATTCCCATTAATCAAACTAATGAAACTTTGCTTTACATGAATGAATTGGATTCTTGGTGCCTATGCTAGGGACAATGAAGCATATATGATTGAAAAGATTGTTATGAGCATTTCAAATGAATTGAATTCTATACCATCACGAGATTCCGACAATCTGGTTGGAATCGACGCTCATATGAGAGAGATGGATTCTTTGTTGTGTCTGGAATCAACTGAAGTGAAGATGATGGGGATTTGGGGTCCTGCAGGTATTGGCAAGACAACAATTGCCAGAGCTTTATTCAACCGGCTCTCTGAAAACTTCCACCACACTATCTTTATGGAGAATGTTAAGGGAAGTTATTGGAGATCGGAACTCGATGGCTATGGCTTCAAGTTGCGTTTGCAAGAACAGTTTCTCTCTGAAGTTATTGATCATAAGCATATGAAGATACATGATTTAGGTACGGTAAAGGAAAGATTGCAGGATCTGAAAGTTCTTGTTGTTCTTGATGATGTTGATAGACTAGAACAACTTGATGCTTTGGTGGAACAATCTCAGTGGTTTGGCTCTGGAAGTAGGATCATCGTGACCACGGAAAACAAACAGCTTTTGAGAGCGTATGGGATCAAGCTTATATACGAGTTGGGTTTTCCATCTAGAAGTGAATCTCTTCAGATTTTCTGCCACTATGCGTTTGGACAAAGCGCTGCACCAGATGGTTGTATCGAGCTCGCCACTGAAATAACAAAGCTTGCTGGCTATCTTCCCCTAGCTCTCAAGGTTTTGGGGTCATCTTTGCGAGGGATGAACAAAGACGAGCAGAAATCAGCATTGCCTCGACTCAGATCCAGTCTCAATGAGGATGTTAGGAATGTTTTACGAGTCAGTTATGATGGTTTACATGAGAAGGATAAGTCCATATTCCTTCACATTGCGTGTTTATTTAGTCGTGAGAATGTCGATTATGTGAAGCAGCTGCTTGCAAGTTCTGGCCTGGATGTAAACTTTGGGATACAAGTCCTAGCCAATAGATCTCTCATATACATATCGAGATGCAATCACACCATTATGATGCACAGTTTGCTAGAACAATTGGGTCGAGAAGTTGTTTGTGAACAATCTTTTGACGAGCCTGGAAAACGCCAATTCTTGGTGGATGCTTCAGATATCTATGATGTTCTTGCTGATAACACAGTAAGTCAATATTTGTATTCTCTACTTTACTTTCATTTTTAAGTCCACTACAACTTTGCATGAACATTTCTTTTGGTACTTCTGTGTTTCAGGGCACTGGAGCTGTTTTGGGCATATCTTTGGACATCTCTAAGATCAGTGAATGGTTTCTGAATGAAAGATCTTTTGGTGGGATGCATAATTTGATGTTTCTAAAATTGTACAAGACGTCCTCTTCGAGTAAAAATCAAACGGAGCTGCATTTACCTCGAGGCTTGGATTATCTGCCCCGTAAACTCAGGCTGTTGCATTGGGATGCATACCCCATGACATCAATGCCTCCGAGTTTCCGTCCAGAGTTTCTTGTTGTGCTAAATTTAAGAGAGAGCAAACTTGAGACGCTCTGGGAAGGAATACAAGTAAGTAAATTCGATAGCTCTCCTCTCTCAATTTCTCATAACATATTGGTCTGATTGTTTTCTTTTGTTTGTTTCATGTGAGTTTCTTTTAGCCTTTAAGAAGTCTGACGCATATGGATTTGAGTATGTCTGAAAATCTAAAAGAGATTCCAGATCTTTCAAAAGCAGTGAATATCGAGGAACTCTGTCTCAGTTATTGCAGAAGCTTGGTGACGTTACCTCCCTCGATCAAGAATCTTAAAAAACTGCTTGTTCTTGACATGGAATGCTGCTCAAAGATGGAGTATTTTCCAGCCAATATCAACTTGGAATCTCTCAGCATTCTCAATCTCGATAAATGCTCACGATTGACAACTTTTCCAGAAGTCTCTTCGAATATTGGATTCATTTCTCTATCAGAAACTACAATAGAAGAAGTTCCGACAACAATCGCGTCTTGGCCGAATCTGGCAGCATTGGACATGTCAGGCTGCAAGAACCTCAAAGAATTTCCATGTCTACCGGAAACTATAGAATGGTTGGATTTGAGCAGGACAGGAATCGAAGAAGTCCCATTTTGGATCGAGAATCTCTTTCGGCTCAACAAACTATTGATGAACAGCTGCATGAAGCTAAGAAGCATCTCTTCTGGGATTGCTAAGCTGGAACATATCGAAACACTAGATTTCTTGGGGTGCAAGAATGTTGTGAGCTTTCCTGCAGAGATCTTCGAGAGCTCTCGGTTCTGTCATAATCTGGTGATGGAGATGGGAAACATCCAAAACCCCGATCTTCCTCAACCATTTTATTTCAGGAATAACTATATTGACACTATCCCGGATTGCATCGCACGGCACTGCAAGCTGCCTTTTCTGATGAATTCATCAGGATCAGTCTCCAGCAAGATTGAGAATAATTTCATTTGGTTCGATGAATTAATAATAAGTGGTGAAGAATGGC